AATAACTATTTTTTTACTTGGCAACACACGCATTTTTTATGTATGAAATCCATTTTTTTCTATCATATAAGGTCTTATGCTAAAGTGCAACTGGCAACGCTAAATTGACGACAAAATTTTAATGAAAAATTGCTGCCAATTCATTGGCAAAGAGCTTCCTTATAGAAAAATGCTTTTTATTGTGTATGACAACTAATATAAACTAACTAAAGATTTATTTTTGATAAATTAATTATAAATCTTCAATTGAAGATGATAAAAAAAGGGTTGCAGAGAGTACTTCGTATTCTGAGTCCTACTTTTAACTAACTTTATGAGAAAAAAAGTACAACTTTTCATTTTGAGTCTGTAACTTTTATAAAATTCTGCGAATCTCTACGTTTTTGATCTCGATTTAAAGCTTGACTGTTATACTATCAGGATAACTACGGAAAAATTCTGAAAATTATTTTATTTTTACAGTAAAAATCGATTAAATAATTTTTTTTCAAGTTTCGTAAAAAAAACTGATAACCGTAAAAAAAATTTTTCGCACGGAATATTGCTACATTAGCTCTTTCGGCTTCTTTGTTGGTGGGATCGACAATAAATACAATGTGTATTATACATAGCTTGAATTCAACATAACATATTTTTCCGTGCACGTGGTCCTTGATAAAATAAACGTTTTAATAATTATACTTTTTCCCTCTTCCGTGAGCAACTTGGCCAGCAAAAAAGAGTCAAACGTCACATACAATATTGACCTGCCCCGTGTACGCAAGCTGTGGAAAAGACCAGTGTTTAATTATGCCCTCATAGCAACATAGCTTCACCACGAAACTAGGCAAAAGCCTCTTTTCACGCGCAAAGCTCGAGTGTTTCGTTCTTTCTCTCTCTCTCTCTCTCTCTCTCTCTCTCTCTCTCTCTCTCTCTCTCTCTCGTAAATTTTGAGTTGGTTCACAGATCCACGGCCAAAGTTTAGCCTTAATTTGAGTGCAAATGAGCTTTCTCTTTCACGTGGACACATGCCGTTCGTGGCGCCTTTACATACTTTTACATGTATACGTATATGACCATTTTTGAATATATGCACGTATACAGAATACAAGTATACAGAATCCGAACGTGCCTTTATATGAATTTCTGCTTTGCTTTGCGACTGAACCAAACTAGAGTAGTATATAAGCTCTAGAAAAGTTAGTCCTCTCAGCGCACAATCTCTCACCTTATTGTTTGCACTTGCCAGAATTTACTCTCCCCTCCCATTTTGAATGCTCGATTGTAGCATGTTTTGATTTATAAACTTGCTTACTGGTTTCATTTGTGTGTTATTATAACCGATGAAGCTTATGTCACGATTACGCAATACGCTTATAGATTTTTATTGTGACAACTTTAAGAAAACATTTTTTCACTAAGTCTGTGTCTTTCAAGTGTCATTATGCAAGTCATTTTTTTGCAGTTTTTAACGGATCGAATTTACTGACCTTTAAAAAGCTACAATCAATAAAGGCTTATGGGGGGCTTTACGGATATAACTTTTTATTCTTTGACGTTTTTTGGTGCTTCATACTTTTCTTAAATGCATTCTTGTGTCACAGAGCCTCTTGAACTAAAGCGTCGAGTGGGGACTGGGGTGTACGCTTCTGCGGTCCATAATTATGGGGTCAACCTCGGGCAAAGTGATTGGATCCATAGATTGCAGTACACAAAAACTTAACCCTCTCAGGATGAATGAACACATGAATGTACAACGACTTTATGATCTATTGGGAATTCCTCAGAATGAATAATACAAAACTAACTTATAAATCTTACTGTGCAGAGCAAGACCTTTAAAATCACTAAACATGGATTTATCAGATTATATATTGATATTTTGAAACTAAAATAAACATTGAAAAAAAAAACATATTCTCACAATCAAACATTAATTCATGAAAAAAAAATGAGTTTAGATTATACGTAATGTTTTTTAATGCTTTTTCGTGGTATTTTATCCAAAGAAACTTTCAATGTCAGGTTTATTTTGAAATATTATTAATTAAATGAACAATGATAAAAACTGCTTTTAATGCATTAGCAAAGAGTTTCTACTTATTTTTATGTATTCATGCCAATATCTATAATAAATTTTTTAACGCGTATTTGGACGTATACACCACGAAAACAAAACTCATCTGGTAAAAATTAAAACACTCAATCATGTAAAAGTCAGATTCAGGGAAAAAAAATTATTTTTAAATCGAAAAAAAATTTAATTTAAAAATCCATGAATCTTTAACTAAACTAAACTTTCGATACTTACCTTTGTAAAAATATGTAGGTTTCATACCCAAAAAACAAAAAAAAAAATTTTCGAAACAATAAAAAAATTCATAACTTTTCAATTACTCGATAAATCCTTGAATAAGTTTTGAATGCTTCTTATGACATATAAATCCTTAAAAAAAAGCCCAACCAAATTAAATTTTCTCATGTTATTTAAATGGGGAAAAAGCTGACGCGTGTGGCACTATCTAGAATTAGCTTAACGAGCTCGGACAGTGATTTTCTTCCATTGTACGCCAAATGATGATCTTTCAAAGGGTGAGAGCGAAGATTTGAGAAATTCGGGAAATAACGGATAGTCTAACCCACATACACGCGTACCTTTGGAAAATATGGGAGTTCTAGTATACCTTCGTCGGATTAACGGCAGCTATTTTAGGGACTTAGTTCTCTGCGGGCGATGACGCGGGACTTACAACGTCACAGCTGGCGTTCCCCACGGATCTGTAGTTGGCCCCATCCTCTGGAACGCCATATACAATAAAAAATTGAGTCGGAACCTGCTTGAGACTGTATCGGTAGTCGGCTTTGCGGACGACATTGCGCTTTCCCTAGTTGATAAAAATTTGGCAGATATTAAGTCAAACACAAATGAGGCTATCCAGCAAGTTCGTATTGCCTGGGTGAATTGCAAATGCAAACCGCCGATCATGAAAACGAAGTTCTGCGTGTCAAGTGCACAAAACTGTTGGAGAACATCTCCCTCAAAACCGGAGATTCCATGCATTCGGTACTTTGGCATACATATCGATGCTAAACTACGATTTGAGCAACATCTGAAACTAGCCAGCGACAAAGCTACTCGGATGGCGGATGCTCTTCTCGGCCTGATGCCCAATATCAAGCGCCCGAGGAACAGCCGACTCAGGCTCTATGTCAATATCGTCGACTCGGTTCTCCTTTATGATGCTCCATTATGGAAAAATACTGTAGAGCGTCAATCCACTAACGCGCATGTCTTCGTGCGATATGTAGCTTTCGCAGTATTTCTCACCAGCATTCCTACCTTGGCCCTTCTCGTCGACCAGCGCTCGAGGCTCTATGAGCATCGTGGTGAGGATGCCAGAACTCTAGAGTAATGGCAGGCCCAATGGGCGGGCATAACGACGGGTCGTCAACTCACCTACTCATACCGAATATCGCCTTGTAGATCGAAAAGAGATATGGAAAAGTGAACTATTACCTTACTCAACTCCTGTTCAATCACGACTGCTTCAGATCATACCTCTGGTGAACAAAAAGTGACACAAGCAACTTGTGCTTGCAGTGGAGAACGTTAAAGATGTCTGAAACATGTGGAAAGAGAGCAACTTCGCCGCCATGGAGCCCTAAACGATTGTTGGGTTTATACTTGCCACTGAACGCAACTGGGAAACAGTATCCTCCCTCTCCAGCTCAGTCATGACAAGACTGAGAAGTGAAAAGAGAACCAAAAGAAGATAACCGGACGATGCGGTACGAAGAAAACGGAATTAAAAGACATGTTAGCATCAGGATGAGCTCGTATAGAGCGATGGCCTTTTCTCATGAAATAATTGCCTAACGGTACACAGATAACAGTACACTACTCGAATGTGACACCCCGATTCCACATGTTAAATTTGTAAATAGATTTCCTTCCTCGTAAGAAGAAAAAAACCACTTGCAGACATTTGTTGTAGAGAATTCAACGTCGTTTACGAATATCTGAACGGAATTATCTAAAAATATCGCTGCAACAGTAGTATGTCATACTATATATGGGTCAAAAATAGTAATTTACGATACAAGTGCCATACGTAATACTTTCTGGCACGGCGTAGTTTAGGGCCCGAGCGCAGCGAGTCCCTATATGTCCCCAAAAAATGTTACTTATGGCACTTGTATCGAAAATTAATATAATAATTTTCAATTAATTGCACAGTACTTGCCTTGGGAAAGCTTACAAAACTTTAACACGAGATACTGTGATAGGCTATGACTAATAGCTTATTGAAGGATTCAAAAAATGTCATGCATATCCGTCTTATAAATTATGAGATATGCTATGAAGTGTACAAAATTATCGTCATTTAAGTAACAGTTAATGTAAAAATGTTTTACTCATATCTCTTAAATTAATCAGTGAACCTGCACCAGATTTTCACAGCGCATTCCTATTATAAAAATGAGCATATTCAGGTAATTTGGTTCGATTCCGTCTTATAATTCTTCGAGGGAGGTTCCTTATTAAAAGAAAAAAAGAACAAAAAAGTTTTTCAATTGATCAAAGAATACAAAAAAAACTTCAAACAACCTATTTTTGTTAATAGTATGATTTTTGGACTTAAGAACTCGACGTTTCGTTTAAAAAAAAGTAGAAAATGTTTGAAGTGATGTATTTGACTAAAAATAATCAGAAATTTATTTTAATGGCTCTGCATCGTTTTAAAAAAATAATTTTAATAAAAAAAGAAGATTTTCGATTTCATAGGTGCGTTAGGCAACTCGAAAAAAATTTGAATAAAGCCAAATTTATATTTTTTGCCGTGATAAAAAAGAAAAATGGTCAAGTTTGACATAGGCTTATATAACCGTTAATAAATTCACCGTAAATAAGTACAGGCAAAAATTTGTTTATGTAAAAATACGTACGAATTAATAATGTAATTTATGCAAGGCATAATGAAATGAGACTCAGGTTGATGATGATTTTTCTATCTAAACAGTGCCAAAAGTGGAGATCGTCGACGAACACGGCGCAACAGCTGGCGATAAGTTTTACAAAGCTGGCAGCACGATAGAGCTGAAGTGTGTGGTCAGTAAAGTGCCACACCCTACAGGCTACGTGACATGGATGCATGGGTCCCGGACTCTCAACTACGACACGATTCGTGGTGGCATAAGGTAAGTGAAGTTCACTCCCTACTCATATATATAATGTATATATATACATACATATACATATGCATTGACAGCTTAGAGTACTTGAACTTTTCGTTCCACGGCTCGGCAACAGTTTTAGAAATTTTATAGCCACAGCACCGGGATCTTTTACTTTCGAATCATCCTACTGACTGCGAAAAACGAACTTTCCGCACGCTGTATCAAAAATCGACTTTCCGCACGTTGTAATAAAAATTAGTGTACGCAACTGGGGAGGTTGTTGGTTTGTACGAGTGTCAAGTTTGCAGCCCGAGCGTAGCGAGCTTGGCTTCACCTCGGGTGTATAACCTCACAGGGATGGAAGTTCGACTTATCACATAATATACTATTATATTAAAACGGGAAAAAATACAGGGTGATGACTTAATATATCGTCTTCGATTGAGTAAATTTTTTTGCATGTTTTTGTAATGATTAGATAAACAAATCCATCATAGACGCATTGAATGAAAGACTACTACTTAACGACGAAAATTTTGAAAACTATATTTTTTATGCATTGACAATTTATATTTTATATTATTATAAAATATATGACCATTGCGAAAGTCTTGAATTTGATCGAGACATCCGGGCAAGTAGAGCCATAAGAAGGATTTTTTTACACACTGTTAACTTTGAATGATCGCATGGGATTATCATTTCACTTATCACTGTTTGCTATTGAAAATTAAATAATAGTTGCTATGAATTTTAACGATCATATGATTAATTATTGAATTATTCAATCACAAACTTTGCTTAGTGGTTATCGTTTGAGGAATAAAAATATTACTTTGCTCGAGTACTTGTCTTAATATATTTCATTTCATTACTATCATAGCTAAGTAATTAATCAATGGTGGATTGAGATTAAGAGTTTCAACAATTGGCGAAAAAAGGATTTTAAATTCTGGCTCAAATTAAAAGGATCAGACTGTCATACTTGTTCCTGTTTGAACTTTTGAAAAAAACATTACCACGGTTCTGAATTATTCTATTGCAAACATTTCAGTAGGCTAAGAGTTTGAAACATAAAATTGTTAGTTTGCCGAATACTTGACGGAATTTATTTGATTTCAATAATATAATAGCCGAGAAATTTATTATTGTTTACGATTTGAGATTACTAATTAAATACTTTAGGAACATATTTTAAAGTTAGCTCCATAACATGAGGATCAGACGGACATACTTGCTTATACATGTTCTTTTAAAAAAAATTTTATGAGATTTCGGATACTTATATTACTAATATTAGTATGCTTAAGATACACGTAGAAAATTTAAGAAGAATGGTCAAAGGAGATTTCAAAATACTCCGACCTAGTGCACCAAATTAACCACCCGGAATAATATGCTCGCTGAAAAATCGTGAGTACCCGGAGAAAGTCATTGCCTCCAAAAATCCTCAACTTTCATTAAAATATGATTTGTATGGGTCCAAAATTACTGAAAAATCAAAAAAATTGTATTCAATATTTTATATTAACTATCCTGTACTTTTCCATAGATTTTTTCAAAAAACCAGCATTTTGATTTCTCAATGAGGAAATTCTGACCCTTTTTTATGGAATTTTTTTCTTTTATATTTTTTGATATATTAAATTTATAATAATTAATGACCTAATAAAAGCGAATCATTTGTGCTACAACAGTTAGGTTGTCCATACTTTTTTGGATATTCGTACGTTCGGATATTACTACTTCTGTAACCATTGAATTAGGTTACTTTGCACGAAATGACAAACAAAACAAAATGACTGCCAAAATTAGTTGAGTTGAATTAACTATTTATATTCATGAATACTAGGTTAAACTACGTGTAGAAATTCAATCTTACGTCTTGTATTACTATAATGGTCTTCAGGTTGCTTGAGTGCTCTGAGCGATTTTAGTAATTATTCGTTGATCTAATTTATTTAAAAGTTTTGTCAAAGCGTATGGTACAAATGACCGATATCTATAATTTTATTTTAAGCCATTTTGTACTGTGACCTGTAAGGTTACGTGTTAAACTATCAACTATCATTCAGGTTTTTCTCGAAAATGGGTATAGTTTAATTTCAAGTTTCAGCCCATTCTATAGTTATCAATAAAAGCGCTCAAGCAATACGCTCAAGCTGGATTCCATAGCAAATTATTCGCTCTGAGATTATTTAAATGCCAGAAATGCACGAAGAAATAAAAACATTTACAGAAATGCTCGAAAAATAGCTTTTAAGAGAAAAAAAATTATTGGTTTTTCAAAAAATTGAGTAAAAAGAAAGAAAAATTGTTGAAAAATATTAAATAAAAATTATTTTTAAGGTTTTGTCAAGTCCTTCATGTTATGTAAATATCTGATTGGATTAAAAGCTAACGCTAACAATCAATTCACGCAAAATTCTATGGCCAACTTTTTTCTATTGCAATATTAATCATCAATGTTAATAATGTTTTTTTATACTTAAAATGCCTCGAGGAAATTGAGTGTCATCAGGGAAATAAGACTATTCATCATACATTTCTGAAGTAAAAAAAACGTCGATTCTTCATTTTCTTCAATCGCAAATTGAAAAAAAAGATTAATTTAAGTATAATCAAAGCGTTAAAACCTTCGTTTATTCCTTTGAAACAAGCGCAGCATATCTTCTTGTGTTGGGCAGATGAAAAAAAAGAGCACAGTCCGCAACTTTACGAACATGTCAGTACAATTCCACGCTCGAGGGTTTAAAATTTCAATAGGTCCATCGTCAAATCAAAAGCCCAGGCCTTTTCTCCTGAGCCAAAAAAACGTTGTATCTTTGGGGTTTATTGGATTTCGCTGCAGATGAAGTGAGAGAGAGAGAGAGAGAGAGAAGCGCTAACGTGCAACGCACATGTATAAGAATATATGTACAGACTCGTTCATAAGCCAGCTGCAAGCTGCATTGCGTGTATTGCTCTATACCGCAGTTGTATCTCGCGCTTGCTACGTGTGGTTTTAAAAAGACTACAGCTGACGTATATACGGTGTTGAGGCGAAGTCGTAACTTTTTCAACGCATAAAGCGCCATTCTCCAGCCAGCATGTTAACACATAAAGCGTAGCATCAAAAACTAGCACACGTTATTCATCAATGATAAATACCATTGTCAGATTGTATTCAAGCTGTTTCTTGTAATTTTTTGTTGTTTTGTAATTTTTATTTATTTGTCTTCATTTATCATGAAATTTCAGGGGGAGGGAAGGGACCGTTTTTTCGATTGAAATAAGCCTAAGGATTGAACATTTTTCATAAACACAGATTTTCAATTTCACGAGTTCATAGATTTTCATACATATACGTAAAAGTAAGATAAAACGGAACGAATCATTCCACGGTGAAGGTCGATGCGACAATACGCACATTACCTTTAGAAAAAAGCTTACAAATAATCAATCCGGGACCTTTTTGTTGACCTGCTTTCGCATTTTTACAGATAATGCGAAAATTTTCTCCTCATTCTCTTCAAATAAAAGAGGTAGACAAAAATTCAATTGATATAGCCTCGGGAAAAGCTCGTTTTACATTCACTGCAAAACAAGAGTACTAAATTGTGAATAGTATACACACTACTCAACAAAATTATCGCCACAAAAAATTTCATCGAATTTTTGTCAATTTTCAAATTCAAGAATCGAGTCAATTTCAGCTAAAAGAGGGGATTTGCGTACTATTAATGGTACCTTCAAAACGACCTACAGGGTACAAAAATAATCGAGGAGAGCTCTATTTTTTATAAATTACTCATTGAAACGAGTATTTTGCGATGGTGTATGTTGAATTTTGATAAACTAATTACTGTAGTCTATGGACAAGTTTAAACAATCAATTTTTTTTCAGTAATTTTTAGTGTTGCTCTCAAATACTACTAATAACTTGATATTAACTCGAACCTATTCATAATCGACATGGATTTAACCCGTTAACGCCGGGACGAACAGAATTTTTTTCTGTATTGTAGTCTGCAATTAAATCATCTTATCGGAGCAAGAAAAATTTTTGAGTACTCATTTTCTATGTAAAATTTAATGTATTTTTTGAATATGGGTTTATAATTAACCTCTGATAAATATTAAAAAAGTTATAAACAATTTACTGCGAAAAAACACGATTTTGAATCTTGAAAAAAAACTTTGATTCAAATTTTTTTTATGAAAGAGACATGAACTGTGGCCAATAATACCAAAAATTGTGGAATAATGACCTACAGTTTAAAGTACTGTAGGTGGGATTTGAATATTCAAAATGGTAGACTCCAAAAAATACACTTTTCCCAAGAAATTTACCAAAAAATGTTCCAAAAAATGTACTTTTTTGTTCGAAAACTATCAACATTAGAAAAAAAAGTTATTGAATATTCAAATCCCACCTACAGTACTTTAAACTGTAGGTCATTATTCCACAATTTTAGGTATTATTGGCCACAGTTCAAGTCTCTTTCATAAAAAAAAATTTGAATCAGTTTTTTTTCAAGATCCAAAATCGTGTTTTGTCGCAGTAAATTGTTTATAACTTTTTTAATATTTATCAGAGGTTAATTATAAACCCATATTCAAAAAGTACATTAAATTTTACATAGAAAATGAGTACTCATAACATTTTTCTCGCTCCGATAAGATGATTTAATTGCAGACTACAATAGAGAAAAAAATTCTGTCCGTCTCGGCGTTAACGGGTTAAAGAAGACAAATTTTTCAAGAAATCAAACAAAATTCGTCTCGATATCATGAATACAGACCAAGATTTCGATGAATTTTTTGTTGCGATAATTTTGTTGAGAAATTTATTTACGCACGATCGGCAGCCAACATAGGGACACACCTGTGTAAAATCCTGCGAACTGAAAAATATGAAAACAAAATGTTAATTTTCCAATTTTTCGTTTTTGATGTAAAATTATGTTTTGAGTCTTTTTACATAAAAAAATATGTCTCTAGTACCTTTAATTATTCAAATTACTCCAGGATTCATCTAT